GCTGAAGAGTGGGTGGCGGAGGGGAAGAAGGGTGCAAGACCTGGAGTCAGTCCAGAGCCGCTGAAGAGTGGGTGGGGGACTCCAAGGGAGACGGCATTCCAGCTGTCCCAAAGTGGAAAGCGCATTTGGACTTGGAGTAAGGAGATTAGAATTTAACTACTGGCCGTGTGACCTTGGGCAAGTCGGTTCCTCTGAGACTCAGTTGCCTCATTTGGTAAATGGTGGTAGCTAAGCTTCTGTAGAGCTCTAAATCCGACGTACCTAGGCCAGACTCCACCTATTCATTCCCATTCTGAGATGTGTTTCCCCCTCCCCCACCTCCTAGGCTCCCAGCCGAAAGTACGGAGGCCACGGCAGCCACGTCACCAGTGTCCGGTTCACTCATGACGATTCTCACCTCATCTCACTGGGAGGAAAGGATGCGAGCATTTTCCAGTGGCGCATGCTGGGTGGTGGGGGCCCTGGCCCAGCCCCCCCCACGCCCTCCCGCACCCCTTCCCTCTCCCCTGCCTCCTCGCTGGATGCCTGACCCCACTACGACTAGATGGAGTGGGTGGGTTTAGAGGGTGCTTTCCCCCCTACCTCCCGTTGCCCCCATCCCCGTCCCAAGGACCAGGAGCCTCTTCTCCCAACTTCGTTACATTCCGTGCCTTCTCCCGGGCGAGGAGGGGCGTTGGGACTCCCCAACACTGTACAGAACCGCAGGCTGAGCCGAGCAGCCCCCGCCCTCCTCCCAGACCCTGCAGCAGTGCAGAGGCAATAAAACAGAGGCAAAGTCCCTTTGCAGCCTCCCGAGTGTCCTTCTGCCGGTGAAAGGCTGGGGGGTGGCATGGAGTGGGGTTGGAGAGAACCCTGGATTGGAAGTTAGAGGACATTCTCTGGGCTGCCTCAGTCTCCTCCTCTGTATCAGGAATGGGGTTGGAGGCGATGCTCCCTCCCTAAGGGCGATTCCCATTCCCAGGGTCCTGGATTGACCAGGCTGGAGGGGGGGGGCGCAGTGAAGAGTCCACGGGCTGGGGCTAGACCAACCAAGGAGGAGAAAAGATGGGGCCCATGCAAATAAAAAGCAAAGGGCATGCAAATTCCTGGCCCAACGCTCCCTCCCGTAGCCACGTGCCGAGGGAAGCTGAGGGGAGGGAAGGGTTAAGCCCCGGCTCCGCCCCTCCCTCCCGGCCCCGCCCCTCCCGGACCAGGAGGCGGAAATGCCCGAGCGCCGGAGGCCGCGGGCCGGAAAGAGCCGAAGCGCCTCCGGAAGTGGCCGAAGCGCGGGCGCCCGTCCTTCGGGCGCAGCCGGAAGGGTTCCGGAAGGGCTCGGTGTTGAGGAAGGGCTCCGTCGGGACGAACCGAACCCCGGGACCCGGGACGCGGGGCGGGGGACCGGAAGCAGCCGAGCGGGTCCGGCGCCGGCCTCGGCGCGTCCTGGGCGGGAGACAGCGGCGGCGGCGGCGGCGCGGGATGAGCCGGGGCTGAGGCGGCGGCGGGGCCGGGGCCGGGGCGCCGAGCAGGGCCGAGCAGCGCCGGGGCCTCCCTGCGGCCGAGCCGGGCGCCCGCGGGCCCCGTCGGGCGGCCATGGCAGCCAACATGTACCGGGTGGGGGGTGAGTACCGCGCGCCCGCGGCCCCGCCGGAATCGGAACGAGCTCACCGGGACCGGGCCGGGGAGGGGGGCGGCAGAATTGGGGGGGGCGCGGACGGGGGGGTGGGGAGGTGCGGCACGGGAGGGCGCATGCGCGCTCGGAGACCCTTGCCGGGGGTCCCGGTAGGGGAGGGCGCATGCGCGGCAACCCCCTTCCCACATCCCGGGGGGGGGGTCTCAGGGGTCCCGGGCGGGGGGCCCAACGAGACTTGAATGGATGAACTTGACCGCTCAGGTCGCAGCGGGGGGGGGCCCGGAGTAATGCCCGGGCGCTCAGGGCTCCCGGCTGTGCGGGGCGAAGCAGTAACTCTCGCCGCCCGCACGCTCAGCCAGATCGCGACAGGGCCCTTCCCCACCTCTGTCGTGATAGGGACCCCTGGCCCCCCCCCCCGCTTGTTCCGGGCTGCCCTGCGTGCTAGCGCCCCCAGGCGGAGCTCGTTTCTGGATCCCCTGTCGTGATAGTGCTGCCCTGGGGCAGAACTCGTGCCCAGATGGGCCTCCAGCGGTTGGGGCAGGACTGGGAGTTTCTCCGGGCAGACACGTCCTCTGCCCCTTCCCTGGAGCAGCCCCGTGACTTTCCCTCCTCCGCCGGGGCTCGGGGGCTCATCCTGCCTGTGTTGGACACACTGTTGGGACCTGGGTTTTCCCTGCACCGTGTGTCCACCACCCTCCCCGTCAGCGCCCTGGACAGAGCCCCAGATCCGAGCCAACAGCCCGTGCCCTCCAGAGTTAGCTTAGGTTCAGCCTCCGGAGAGCCCAGTGTGGAGGGGTAGCAGTGAGAGGCGCAGGGGGGCCGAGGACAAGTCCTGGGGGCAGGTCCTCCCAGAGGAGCTCCCAAGGATCAGGGTGGGCCGGGCCGGGCTGGGATGGGATCACTCAGTGCTGTCCCGGCTCCTGGACTGCCCTTGGCCTTGTCAGCATCCCCAGAATTAAGGTGGTCACTGACTTCTTCGGATTAATTGTCCTTTTTGTCTTTGAAAAGATACTTCAGGCCTTTGGGATGAGGAGGGCTGAGAGCAGGCAGGGATTATCGGGGTTTTGCCTTGTTCTCCAGTACTGGGAACGCGTAAATGCTGATTGGTTGAAGCTGGGGAGGGATGGCGAGAGAGCTTTTGGCTGCTGCTTTTACTTCGGGCTGGAGGCCAGTCCCCAGTTTTTCCTTCCTCAGCTCCCCTTCTCCCCCTCCTTTTCAAGGCTTTCTACCCCCACCCTTTCCCTTTCTTCCTGTTGCATCCCTTCTCACTCAGGGCTTTGGCTCTTCCCCATTGCAGATTACGTCTATTTTGAGAACTCCTCCAGCAATCCTTACCTGGTGAGGAGGATTGAGGAGCTCAATAAGGTGAGAGAGTGTGTGTGTGTGTGTTGGGGGGGTGCAGGAGGAAGGGAGGATTCGGGAATCATTGCGACAAAACCTGTCTGTGAGGATGTGTGCTGAGGTTGATAAGGCACACATGCTTTTGTGGGGCTCCTGTTCTTTGTGTGGGTGGTTATCAGCTTCACTTCCTCAACATGGCCTCCATGGGGCAGTGGGCAGAAGTTGGGGAAAGGTAGGTTTCCGCTCAATGTGAGCACAGACTTCCTAACAAGAAGCTCTAGTTTACAGAGCTATCTGAGAGTGAAAGGGGCAGCCTCAGGAAGTGACTGGGTTCTCCTTACTAGAGCTTACAAGTGAAGGCTGGTTGATCATTTTTAGGCAATATGGGTATTACTCTTCTTCTGGTTGGTTAGAATGGAGGGCCTTGGGCCCTGTCTAGTTGTGTGCTTCTCAGGGGGTCTCCTTACTGTCTCCTGCATCCTGAGGTGTCCTGGCTGAGTTTATTTTGGCCCTGGCCTAGTTCTGAGCTCCTTAGGTGGGAGGCCCCAAGACTGAGCAGCACTCTTCTTGGGCACATAATTCCTTGAGGTCTTTTTTTTTAAACCAGTGAGTGCTTATATTTCCTATTTTGAATATATTCCCTGTTACTGGCCCCTTTTCCTTAGACAGATCTACTTTTTCTAACATCCAGTTTCCACCACTTTGCCCTTTCTTCCTAGACTGCAAATGGGAATGTGGAGGCAAAGGTTGTGTGCCTTTTCAGAAGACGGGACATCTCGAGCAGCCTCAATAGCCTGGCTGACAGCAATGCCAGTGAGTCTTCTCCCCCTCCCCTCTCGTCCTCAGGCTTGGGCAGGTCTCTGCAGGTGTTTCCTCTGGTCTCATGACCCAGGCTGGGGGGGATGAATTGTGAGATAGGGGAGCAGGTCTGCATGGAGGGGTTAGGGCTTGTTTTCACACGGCAGAAGAGTAGAATGGAGGAGGAATGTGATGAGGAGAGCCAAACGTGAGTTTGAAGATGGGGAGGACAACAGGAGGTGGGAGGTATGGGAGGTTTGGTCAGGAGGGTAGAAACATTGTGTTGGGGGAAGTAAAGAGGAAGGGAAGGAAAGGACCAGAACACACAGTGGGTCCTGCCTTGGGAAGTAGGGGAGGTGGTTTGTTTGAAGGCTGAAGGATTGGGTTGTGCCTGGGATAAGGGTATGGCTGGTCTGGACAGAATGGAGGCCTGGGAAGAGGAAGAATGCCTGAATTGCCTTTCACTTTCCCCTTTTCATCTTCCTTCTCTTTGTTTTCTTCTTCCCTCCCTTTCCTTCTTTCTCTCCATCCCTCACTTCCCTGTTTTCCTCTCTTTTCCTAGTAATTATTCATCTCTATCATTCTTCCCCTTTTCCTTTTTGATTTCTTTGCTCCCTTCCATTGATGTTTTGATTTTCAACTTCTTAGACCAAGGTTCCAGCACTAAAGGGTTAATGGGGAACCAGGCTCTCCAAGTTTCATAGCCCCATGGGGTTTACTGCCCCATCTGGCAGGGGCTGACCTTGGCTTTGTCCAATCAGAAGGGGTTTGGGGGGTGTGGTCCCCTTGCCTTAGCCCTGGTTTCCTGAGCACGGGCAAGGGGAGGAGTCAACTGCAAACTCCTCCCCCACCCCTTCTCCCTGGTATTTGGAACAATGGCCTATGGGTCTGGGCTTGTTGCTATCCTCCCCCTTTCTCCTTTACTTTGCGCCCATCCCTGTTAAACCTTCACAACTGGGCTTCTTAGCCAGCTTAAGGCCTTTGGTGGGGGGGGGGATAGTGTTGATGTTGGGGTGGAAGTTCTGTCTCTAAAAGGTAAACACCAGGACCCAGACAAAGAACAAGTGACATTTATGGTTTTGCAGGTCATACTTTAGGGTGGGGAGGCCTGTGAAGTCTGACGACATGTTTGGGTAGGCACAGCCTGGTATAACTTCGCTGGGGTTCAACTTCCCAGG